CCGTGCATTCGAGACACTGCAAACTTTTTTTCACTTGGGATTTTCGCACAGGGACAACGCCGAGTCGAAAAATCCGTGAGTTTCGGCCATGATAACACGACAGTACGACAACATTAACGTCTACTCACGTGCAAAACGCCTTATTGTGTTTATATCCCTCTAGCTTCACTCAATCACTGTTAAAAATCACTGATAAAACCTCGGAAAAATAGTTTCGTCGTTTCGGAGCGATGTTTAGTACACAACCACCTGAATGTACACATTCGCGTCGGTGGCGCCACCCGTGAGGCAAAAGACAACTCCGAACATTTCTACTTCTGCCTCAATCGGTAAGCCAACTCCCTGCAATTATTTTCTAATTAAAAAACGAAAAAAAACATCGAGTTTATCAGGAATATCGCCTCGTAAATATCTAATTACCCCTCAAATCCCTCGTCTAAAGAAAGAGAACGATAACCAAGTGGTTCGAAGTCTATTTAGACCGTTTCAAAACAGTCCAAAGTCAATAAATTCATCATTCAGAAAAATGCCGATGATATTTAATTATCAAAACCCACGAAAAAAAAATCGCAGTGTGAAAAAAAAACCGTATCGGCGTCATCTGCTTCAGAAAATAATGCTTTTTTCGTATCTCCCGAGAAACGGAAATTCCCAATCGAGAGGCGATTCATTAAAGTACAGTTCAGTCTTCGTACCAGATACTTTCGCGAAAGATACTAGGGCTCTATCCGGGGCGAGCGATACCCTCATTTTCGGACTTCAATGTTTTTCGTTTCGCATTCTCTGTTCACTGTTGGAAATTTTTTTGAATTTCGCGGAAAATATGAGATATGAATTTTCCTGCTTTTCTGAATTTTCGCGGAATAATTCAACCGAAAAATCGAGTATTTTATTGATTTTCAGATCATTTGAACAGAAAATCAATGGAATATTTGATTTTTCAATGACAATATTTCCTGAAATTTCAGTAGAAATTAAACACGATAAAAAATTTCAGGATTTGGCAAGGAAAATTCAGACGAAAATTTTTAACAGTGTACAGGATACTCGACAAAGGGGCTAGAATTGGGTGGGAATGAACTTGAGATATTGCAGAAATTATTGAAAATATATGCATTTATGATCTAGAACTTGATAGCCCATCCATTGAATTTCAAAACGAATGAGCACTCGTTACAGAAACCAAAATGAAACCAAAATTCTAATAAAAGTCTCAATTTTGCCTGCAGGCCCCTAATAAATAAATAAATTAACTTAATAAATTAACTTATTCTGAACTTTTAAATTGTTATGTTGAAAAGGAACAATACATTCTAATAAAAAATTCGTATTTCACATCAGGAAGCGTACTCCAATATTCGTGAAAAAAGGAAATCGTCTAGTACGTTGTACCAAGAACACAAAATAAAAATATTTTCCCCTCTGAGGGCAAGTAAAGTGGGGGATAGGTAATTCTCGGAATTTTATTCCCCTACAGTCCCGGTGGTATTGTGTGGGTTTCACCAGTCGCGCGTGTCGATGGTGACGTTTCTGGGGGCTCGACCGCACTGCCAATGATAAACCGGTATCTCCCGAGGCCGTTCGCGTCTATGGAAATTGATTTCGTCTCGGTTGACTGCTGATTCCAATGAATTTGAGGTGAAAAATAATGTGGAAAAATATTGTTTGAGGAATTTTAGGAAAAAATTGGCGATTTTTATGAGCATGGGGAGCAATTGTTGTTGTTTTTCGGATGATTGCAAAAATCGAACGATCGCTGCTAGAAAAACAACGAGGGCTCGATACTTGAATGAAGGAAAACATTGGAGAATTGTTGGGATGATTGCTCAACATCTCTGCTTGTGAGGAGATAAAAGCCGGAGCTCCCCTGCGATGAAACAGTCTTACAGCATGGAAATAATCGTTTGACCTCTGCACATGGCAACTCACCCTGTGACACGATAAAATTATTGAGTCTGGTATTTTATTGATCGAGATTTCGCAATTATTCTGCGGTCTCAATCGCTCTCGGAGATGTAAACAAAGAGAATTGTCCAGAAATTGTCAGAAATTTCCGGGGAATTCCCGTGAAATTCTCGGAATTCTTCTGATTGATTGGGGATTTAATGGAATAATTATTTTGAATTCTTTGAGTGGGTAGCGATACTCGATTTGTTATTAGCCTTGTGAGGAAAGATTTAGATAACCCCTCATTATTGCACACACTAGATTGACTTTCATATGCATCAGAGGTGAACTGGATTAAACTGGACGAGTAGCCGGCTGTTTAGATATCATATTTTAACGGCTGCGATTATTAAATGTGAGGCAATGGTTGGGTAATTGCCGGACCAACTGTTGACTGGCGCAATTTCATTAATTTTTGCAGTATTGTTAGAGGATTTTGTGCACATGCTCATAATCACAGCTCAAATTTTAACATTTTTTCACCTGAAATTTTTATGCTCAGTTCGACAATACTTTTGTTGAAAGCTAATATTCTCATGTATTTATTTCAATGAAACTTTCAATTAAAACTAAAAAACTATTTATTTAATCTCAACGAGTTCATTTAATTTAAATAACGAAGAGAAATTTATATTCAGAGAAATGACACGTCCAAATGAAATAAAACTTTTTAGTTGAAATTTTCCTATTTATTTTTTCAATTGTATTCTGTTGGATATTAATTAGCTCATGTAAATATTTCAACGAAAATGTTTTAATTATATGAAACTAAGAATTCAATAGTCAAAAAATACTGATTTGATGTGAATGAAGTTTAATTAATTAAAATGAACAGTTTCTCTGGATCCGAATCATTTATAATAAAACAATCAATGCCCTCTGCTAACGGATTCCTTTCGAATTATCATAACCTTCCGCCTCGTGACTTGTATCGACATGGTATCGACACATGATTCACAGGTGCAGCAAAGTGCAAAATCCAGACTTTTACGTAGTACGATAAGAATTTTCCTCGATTTTCCATTCCACTCTTTTTGTTCCCACGAAAATAACCGACAATCAAACGAGGTCATCCCCCAGCAGCTACGTTATATTTTTTCTCATACATAGTTCACTCAATTCGCTAAGAACAAAGATTGATCTCTCAATCTAATCTCCCGGGGCAGATTCTGATATGAATGAACGATCGGATCAAGGTACAAATGAATCAAGGAGTTCCTCCATCGAGATTAAACAAAACCAAAACTCACGCCAAATGTATCGAATGTAATAAACAATGTCAGCTGATTACGTGGGTAAATCAGGAGTAAACACTCGTTGAAAATCGCATGATCTATTTCCACAGCAGTCTCAAATGTACATAAACAACCGCAAATTGAAAACAGGAATATTGACAGGTTTTCATGACATGTTGGCAAACAGATCGAAAATAGAATCTTGGATAAATAACGGGGAATTATTTTTCCTCATAATTTCCAAATTTTTTCCTCAATGATAATCAAAGTCATTGAAATTACGCGATAATTCAGCGCAAAGTTTTTGGGATTGAAATTAATTTGGAGTTATCTCTCTAAGAAATAAAATCAACGAGCCTCCTGGTTTCAGTATTTTTTATCAACTAAATAAGTAACCCGAACCAATTATCAGCTGTAGACTCCAGACACAAACCGGACTACGGACTCGCTCATATCTTAGGAGTTCCTATGAAACCCGTGGGAGATTGACACTCCTTGACCTCCAGCGTCGTTCGCTCAAAGAATACGAGAATAATTGCAATAAATAAATTACCCAAACGTCCAGAAGAGTGATAAAAACGTAAGTCTCCAGCGGAACTAACACGTACGAAAAATATTCATAAAATTCATTCGATTTCGCTAGAAAAGGCTTTTGCATTTCTATTGAACTTTCGATTAATTTTAACCGATTCTATTGAAAAAATTCCGTAGCTTATCTGTGCGTTGTGTTCAATAAAAATGTTCAGTGGGAAATATTCTACAGAAAAAAATCAATAGAATTCAATTGCTGTACACAACTTACTGTTTTCAGATATTTTCTACAAAAATTGTTCGGCTCAAATTTTGCAGGTTTTTCGTTTGACTTTTTAATGGAAGGAGAGGAAAAATAGAGTTGAAAAACTTGGAAAATTCATATCGAGGAATTACTACAGAAAATTTGTGGAGAAAGATAAAATTCTACTGATTTTTTCTGAACAATACTGTTATTTTATTTTATGTTTACATTCATTTTACATTATTTCTCATAGGATTTTCTAAAACTGCAGAACTTTTCAACAGAATCCAAAAACAAATAGCATTCACAATACAAGTTCAATAAAAATCCACTAGAATTTTCCATGAAGTCCGCAAAAATACGTAAATTCAAAACCACTCGCCAAATCTCAAAGCTCAATAAAAATAATTGAATGAAAATAGCTCGTAAACAACTGATTCCCACAAGGCAAACAATTTCCCCGCAAATCTCTTTTCCAAACAACACGAGAAAGAAATCCACCAAGTCCAGTTCGAAAGTTCATGGACCCTGTCTCCCCTCTTCTGCAACGATAAACCACTGATGAACGAAAAAATACTCCTCATCGATAGCCGAAGTGGATGCAACACGCGGGTGTAAAATTTTCTACCCTTTCCCCTCCCCGCAATGAATTAAGGGAGTTTCATTTCAAGAATGAAGCATTGCAGTGGATTCGCTCGTGTCAGCTTGACGCAGTTTGTCAGCTCAACTCATCAAAAACAAACAAATTCCCTTACATCATACTGATAACACCTGAAGCCCATCCTACTCCTCCAATCTTCAACTCCGGCCGTTATCACCAAAACGAAAAAGAATAAATAAATCCCCAGCAATATTCTCCGAATGAAAATGTTTTAGATAAATAAGATGCTTAGGCCACGGTACCCAACAATCAAAAATAAAAGATAATGATGAATGCCGATGCGTCGAGCCGATCCGCCTGCAAAAATAGAAGAGCGAGGGGGCCAACGCTTTCGTATAAAACCGGGACAGCCGATACACTTATTTACTGTGTTGAAAGCGCCGATCAAGCAGTGCGTTCAGTCTCCGTTTCACCGTTCTGTTTCAAACCCGCGTAACAGCCCAAGTCCCGTCATTATTCCCCGGAGATGCTGCAAACTCCCCGCTTTCTGCGACTCCAAGCAGATGATTTCTGAGGGAAAAACATCTGTAGTCGTGCCCCTCCCGAAGGTGATACGTGGAAAGCTGTAAAGAAGCCGAGGTATTTCATCAGCTGTGACGATCGCTAAACACACTGGAGAAACAACTTGTCCTCTTGCGACACATGTTTGAACTTCCCCCACCGATTTGAGTAATCTAATCACCGGAAATTGAAGCTATTCGTGACGTGAAGCAATCAGATTGGTTGATATTCGAGGGGCTCGTCTCTCTATTGTAACTGGAGGGGAACGAGAAGTTGGGGAAAAAAAGGAGAAAGAAGAAGGGATCCCTCGACCCTCGGACTCTGTCCCTCTTGCTCAACGTGTATAAAAGACCAGAAGTGGAGGTGCCAAGATGCCGAACATTGGATGGATCATTGCCAGACAACCGAAGACGATTAGTGCCACTGGTTGTCTAAGGGACACCGCGAGATTACGAGCATTCTCGACGATTATCGGGAGAAATAACTGCGGAAATACTGACAAATGCACCAAATTCCTGAGAACTGTTGATTACGGTGTCTGGGGATCTGTCGCTAAGCCACAGAGATTTTCAATTTTTACGCATCGCGTCGCCGCCAAGTATAATAAATCATACAGAATGCCGTACCTAGTTGACAAATTGTACCCACAGTAAGTAGGAAACGATATTTATTTTGACTTATTGCACTTTTACCAGGGAGAAGTGAAACCTGTCATTCCAACTTGTCATTTTCCGCGATTTTTCATCATTGGAGCATTAAACTTCGAATGTTTTCGGATTTTTCGGCGCCAGTTCCTTGCCTGGTAAATACTATCCACGTGTGAATTATGTATTTATGATAATAATGGGGTATTGAAGATTCTAATGGCTTCCCTTTCACTCTCGAATGATCCAAGATTGTGGGAGAAGCCTGTCATTATCGTTTACCCATTCGGGAAGTCCTAGGAAAGTTTTAATTAACAACCGTGATCTGAGGACTGAAATAACCGCATGAATTCACCGGGATTTCAATTATTGAGTGATTATTCTTTTCAGGGTGACGAACCTGATGGCAACGCAGGCCACCAAGAGCGCAAGTTCGATAGATGACGTTGATGATCACATCAGCGGAGTTCCCCTCGTGAATAAATTATCGGTTCCACTGGCCCCCAAAGTAAGGGCTTACGTCGAGGAATGCGTAAAACTCTGTAAACCCGATGAGGTTTACATCTGCGACGGAAGTGAAGCTGAGAACAATGCCTTACTGCAGATGCTGGAGAAGAAAGGAACCGTCGAACGTCTTTCGAAGTACGAGAACTGGTAAGTGTGAACAGAAAGTCGCAGTCAAGGCTATTCAGCGAAAATACTGAAGACTCAACACTGATAGAAAGGATTTGTTATTGTTAACGAATGGATTTGGTTGGAGACGAGAGTCTATTTGGTCCCACCAAACATTCATTCGTTAATCATTAACGAATATTCATTTGATCATATCCAACCCTACCATTCGTTAATAGTCAACGAATCTCGTTTGGAATAAACGAATCAGTCTATCAGTAAATGTATTTTCTTTCTCTCATATCAGCTGGCTAGCAAGAACGAATCCGGCGGACGTGGCTCGTGTGGAGAGTCGCACTTTCATCAGCACAGACTCAAAGAACGAGACTATCCCAACACCCCGAGAAGGGGTGAAAGGTACTCTGGGGAACTGGATTAGTCCCAGCAACATGGAGCAGGCAATTGTGGAGCGTTTCCCTGGCTGCATGAAAGGTAATTACAGATTGTTGAATCATGCATTGTCTCCGTTTAACGCATTTCCTTTGTCGCAGGACGCACCATGTACGTCATTCCCTTCAGTATGGGTCCAATCGGCTCACCATTGTCTAAGATTGGAATTGAAATCACTGATTCAGCTTATGTTGTGTGCTCGATGAAAATTATGACCCGTATGGGATCGCGTGTGCTTGATGTCCTTGGGAAAGATGACTTTGTCAAGTGTCTCCACTCGGTTGGAGTGCCGAGTAATGATTCGCAAGTTAAGATAAAGCCCTCGTGGCCTTGCGATCCGGAGAGAACGATTATTCTACACAAACCAGCTAAAAATGAGATAGTCTCGTATGGAAGTGGATATGGGGGCAACTCATTGCTGGGGAAGAAGTGCTTCGCACTGAGGATTGGATCCACTATTGCCAAGAGAGAAGGATGGCTGGCAGAACACATGCTGGTAATTATCGAAAAATCTAGAACGCCATTGGCACAGTGAATTGTCAAGAAAGTAGACTAACTAATGAAGAATTCCTACATTTCCAGATCTTAGGTATTACAAATCCAAAAGGAAAGAAAAGGTACATCGCAGCAGCTTTTCCAAGCGCCTGTGGCAAAACAAATCTCGCAATGATGCAGCCAACACTTCCCGGTTACAAAATCGAGTGCGTCGGCGATGACATTGCCTGGATGAGATTCGACAAGAAAGGGAGGCTACGAGCTATCAATCCTGAAAATGGATTTTTCGGTGTTGCACCCGGCACAGCAACAGCCACTAATCCCAATGCGATGAAGACTATTTTCAAGAATACACTGTTTACTAATGTGGCACGTACGAGTGACGGTGGTGTCTACTGGGAGGGTATGGAGAAGGAGGTAGCGAATGACGTTGAAATAACCGATTGGCATGGAAATCCCTGGCCAAGGGATTCTAAGACACCTGCTGCTCATCCAAACTCAAGATTCTGCACTCCAGCTAATCAGTGTCCGATAATCGATTCAGCTTGGGAAAATCCGGAGGGTGTACCGATTGATGCTATTCTCTTTGGTGGTCGCAGACCCCAGGGAGTTCCACTTGTATATCAGGCAAGAAATTGGCAGCATGGGGTGTTCATTGGAGCTACTATGAGATCAGAGGCCACCGCTGCGGCTGAACACAAGGTAAGAGTCAATTATCATTAGAGGATACATTGATCCTAATTTTTGTCTACATGTTCACTTGATTGAAATCCGCTGTCAGTGGTGCCTTCAGTCGTTGTTTCATTTATCGAAAAGTATTGAAGGACGAAAAGAACGCAAGGAATCAACAGATTGCTTCGAATAATTTGTTTTTTCTTTCGATTTCTCCAGGCTAAAGTAATTATGAATGATCCATTCGCCATGAGACCATTCTTCGGTTACAACTTTGGTCACTACCTCAGCCACTGGTTGAGCATGTCCCGAATTCAAGACGCAAAACTCCCCGCAATCTTCCACGTCAATTGGTTCAGAAAAGGTGCCGACAACAAATTCCTGTGGCCAGGATTCGGTGAGAATTCCCGAGTTCTCGATTGGGTTCTGCGTAGAATCGAGGGAGAAGATATTGCGGTGGAGTCACCAATCGGTTTACTACCAAAACAGGGCTCCCTCAACTTGAATGGTCTTCAGGAAAACGTCGATTTACAGGAGCTATTCAGATTACCCAAAGACTTCTGGAAGCAGGAAGCTGCTGAGCTCAGGGATTACCTCGATGCCCAAGTTGGGCGGGATCTCCCTAAAGCTATTATCGAAGAGCTGAATAATCTCGAGAAGAATGTCTCGAAAATTGAGTAATTTTTATAATACAGTTGAGATCAATTTCATCATCTGGAACATTCCATTGAGACGAAATGCTTGCTTCGTGAATATCTGTATATAGTATTATCAAAACAATTTAAAATCATGAACGGAGAGACTCCTCTGTTAACTGCATTAGTAAAATCGATTGCAGAGATGTTGTAACCACGTGATACTTAACGACAACTGTGACTTTATCTTTATATTTATTAATATAATCCTCACGCAAAACTCAGTAATATTCCTCTTGTCAAACATTATTTATGAAAAATATATATTTTCAATCGATGCTGTGTTCTATAAATTTTCAAATTTCCTTTATCTACCTCGAGGGGAATGAGACCGGCTGGAGCTGATGTACCGACTGGAAAAACTATTCTTCACCATTGGCAACTCATCATACGACGATAATTCAGGAAGAAATCCACAAGGTGGCGCTCCCGAATCGGAAGAGAAGCGTTTGAACATGAATTTTGAATTGAGCCTTTTCAAATCATTTGATAAACAAATAGGAGAAACAAGGAGAATCGACGATTTGTGGAAATGAAAGGAGGACAAAATTTCGTTGTCATGATTTCTGCATTCTTTTTTAAACAAAATTTCTCTACTTCTTTTATCTATTTCAAGAAATAGGAAGGGCTAAACAGATAACTCGTTGCCAAAGATGCGGGCACGGCAGGTTGCACACGTGTACCAGGAGAAAAAAAAATGCGGGGATAGTCACACATGTGCCTGCGACTCCTATCGTTACAGCTGCACCGGGAAGTACTTAACCATTCACATCGAGAAGCCAAGATGGTGGAGGGGGGACAATGCCCAGTGCACGAAGGAGCACAGAAGCTCAGCAAAGTCAGATCGGTATTTACGATTCAAGAGAAATCCTTCTCCCAGTCCCGTCAATCCGTTATAATTTCACCGCTAATAGAATCCGAGATTTTGTCCGGCCGAATCGTGCAGCGCATCCTCAAAGCTCGAACATTCCATTTAAAAATGATCTGAAGATCTTGTTGAGTAAAGACTTTTGTCATAGTCGGGGTCTCGTCGTACATTTCAATTAATTACATGACGAGTGATTTTCTCCGATCGATTCAATTAAATGAAAATGTCCGCAGAAATCCCGGGGATTGACGCAAAGCCGGCGCATTTGGACTCGACTCGCGTGGATCTCTCGTGGTGCAATAGCCTATTCCACGAAAGAGAGACCATAATGGCGGCACTAGCGCCTTTTAGCCATCGTGCGCACACATGCGTGGGAGAGTACAACGCGTCAACTCTTGCCATAAAAAATCCTATATCCTGCGGACAAATCCATTCGCGATAATAGTATGTCACTCGGCACGGAGACTGTCGCGGAAGCGCATGTTCTTCTGGATTAGGAAATTACAGTTGTCCTGAAAGTAGGGAAGATGCACTGGTACCAATTTTCGTTTAAATTTTCTGTGTCAAATCCCGGAAATTTTTTTCATGTTTCATTTCCACTGAAATTTCAGGCACTAGGAAGGGAGCGCTTCGCGCGCATGATTGGATAGTGATTTATACGTATTATTTTTTATCATTAGGTATTCATTTATTTATTGAAAAGGAGTTAATGTCCGCTTTTATTATGATTCGATTTAAGAAATTTGAAAAATGATCTTCAAAAATTTGCGCGATGATAAATTCACAATTTTTTGTTTTGATTTTATATTTTAAACCATTATTCTCATTTTTTTTTCAATGTGTATATAAATTTATTGTTCATAATAATTCCATAAGCATTTTTGGTATATCCAAAAGTTCAACTTTGTTTGAAATTTGAATATCGAAGTTTCCGCTATAGTTTTCCCGTTCCTTCCTCGACAGCTTAGCTATCACACATATATGTATAATAAACTAAAAAAAGAATATATATTCATCGGTGATAATTTTTTTTGCATATATATATACATTTAAAAAATTTGAAACATATGTATATTTATATACATATAAATGAATAAAAATATATATATATGTTTTTATTTATTCATTCATAAGCTACGATAACCTTGAAAAATTCCTAAGTCGAGCATATGCTTGGCGAAATAGATTGCTGACCAAAAATGTTTCACCTATTTTTTATTAGAGGAATCTTGTCATTAAAAACTCAAATATTCTGAAAATCAATAAAACACTAGATTTTTCAGCTCAATTATTTCGTGAAAATTCGGAAAAATCCTGAAAATTCATGTCATTTTATTTCTGAGTATTCATATTTCATTAAAAATTCGCACCGATGTTTCCCTTTAATCGGATTCAATGTCACTTTCATGAGAATTACTACAATATTTGCCATGAAACATCAAAAAAATTCCAACAGTGCACTAACGGAATGCGAAAATATATTTTTTTATACTGATCGCAATCGAAGCTATCTCTCTCGGGCATTTCGAGATTGAGTATTGGTGCAGGGAATGAAAACAAGAAGTAATAGGTGAAAACGTCGATCGAGTATACTTGGGTTACGATGCCTCGGTGAATCGTGAATTACGAAATCGTTTCTCCCCGGTAGAAAGAAAGAGGAATTGCGTGGGTGCTTACTCGAATTTTAATCAAAATGGAAAGGACTTTCGGTGTACGATAGACATAATATTCAGATAAATTTTTGTTCACTCTCGACTCGTAATTCCAATTGTCGGGAGTAATGGCAGACGAGACGGAATAAATTCGTGGAAGTATTTTCATCAACTGTAATTGACGAATTTCCTCGAATTTTTCCCATTGAATTCATCTCTCGTATTCGATCACGCCCAGGTCTACAATTGGAAGTTGTTTATGCAGCAGAGAATGCTATTTACGGGAGCCTCTCTCTTCATATGGAAACCAAAAGGCCAGACTCATTGTTTCTCATTCGCATATTGACTATTATCAGTGAATCCGCCTTGCCATATTGGTCACCGATATCCCCGCCGTCACGTCCTTATTGGCTGGGACAAGTGTTATATTCGTCGTTGGTCATCCGAATCATCTTTCCCTGGTGTCCAAGTTTGGCAGTGCCCACCCCAGGCGACGATGCCAGTCGCATGCGTAAAATCTGTCGTCCGTAGGACCACTGCAATCGTCTTTTTATTTATTTTTAGCATGCAGTATGTAAAATCGGAGAGACGCAACAATGAAGTGAGAAGAGAAATGGGAAGAACTTTCTTCTTCATTTCTGCAGGTCCATCCGACAGCTGAGGATCAGTTGTAATAAATTAAATCACCTCCCACGAACATTTTCGAACATTCTACGGTCCAAGGAGAAAAAAGAAGTTTCTCGAAAAGTTCGACTTTACTTCTCAAGAAACTCACGGCTCGAAAATTGATAAGAAGAAAATATTTCAAACTGAGAAAATAAATCTTTCGTCAAGAGATTTTGGATTTGTCAGGAAGAAGAGGGGCAATTTGTTTACAACAAGAAAGCGACCAAGTCAAGTGGTTATTGCATTAAACTATTTTGGATTAGGGAGTTGAAAACTATTGAATAAAATGATTCAAATGACTGCGTTTGAGAAAGCATTTTCTTGTTATGGAAAAATTATCCTCGTCTTTGGGATAAGTACGACATCTTTGACGAAAGTTTTTCCGTTCGCAGTGTAGGATATTTTTTTAATGACTTTCGAAACGTGAGTTTCTTGATACAAGAGAAGCCATACTTATATCGATTATTTGTTCAACTTTAAAGTTTTAAATTCCATTTTTAAAGATTATGAATTTCTCAACTTTAAAATTCATTTTTCTAAATCGTAACAAATTAGTCTCTATTCAGAATCCTTCCAGAATCTAGTTTCATGTCAAAAGAATAAGGCTCTTGGAAATTTAAACAATGAAATCTAAGGAAATATTCCTTTATAACGAAGGAATGGAAAAGAATAAATTCTTGTAAAACAAAATTTCAATGAAAATCATCAAATGAAAGAAATTTTTTAAAAGTTTAACACCTATTTGATGTAACTTGACACAGATTCCAGATCGAACTATGAAGAAATAATTTTTATTTCATGATGACGGATTGTTTATCACAAATAAAATTACTCCCCACAAAAATTTTGTTTAAGGACATTTGATCCTCGGTTATTAAACATTTTGTAACTCTGTTATTCTTCAATATTATTTTAATTATTATTCAAACTTTGAAGGTTTAAAATGCAGTTTTTGAAGATTCAAGAATATTTAACTCTGAAAATCATTTTTCTAAACCATAACAAATTAGCCCATATTCAGAATTCTTCCAGGAATAAATTTCATGCCAAAAAGAAGATCCATGAGAATTTAAACAACGGCCATGATTAATTTATGAAAAATAAATGAAAAAAGTAATGTCTTGTAAAATGTAATGTAAATGAAAATAATAAAATAAAAGAAAGGAAAAAAGAGTTTGGCAGTGATTTGATGCGACTTGACACAGATTCCAGCTTCAACGATGAAGAAATCGTTTGAGAATAGAAGTATTTGAAACGCCTCGGTATTTTACGGTCTCGGGCAAACCCAATATCCCCCGATAACCTGCACATATACAACGAGTTGCGTTTGAATCAATTGGTTACACGACGACGAAACGCGACGTGTCGGTGGGTCTCCAACAATCCCAAGAAGAGAAGATGTTACGTGCCCGCACGTTGAGCCGTGATACGAATGTTTGATCGGAGGGACATTTGGCTTTTCTCTCCTCCCATTGCATGTCACTCCTGCACGACTGGGGACTGTGAGAGGGATTGGGGGAGAAAAGAGGTGTTTCTCTTATTGTCCACCTCCAATCGATTCCAGCGTTTTCGACGAGGGGGACGAAGTCCACCACGGAAGAGAGACTCTGATCCCCCTTCTGGATCTTCAATTGTTCACAGGACACGTACGTGTCCCCATACACGTACCAATGGAGACGAATGAGAGTTCTTTTGCTCGGCGAAATTCGTGTGGATGTCTGTCATCTTCCAGAATATTTAATTGATTGTCATGCATCGTGAAAATTTCAATCATCTTCGGGCAAACCCAAACAATCCATTGAAACAAACTCTTCATTTCACGAGAAAATTTTCAATGAAAGATCAACGGATGGGGCAAAGCGGAACATTTGACGGTTTTTTCAATTTTTTTTAACATTTCAAATTATATTTAAGCTGCCTGTTGTGCCCCCTCGTCTCTAATTAAATTGTTATCAGTGTAAAATGCTTGGACTTGGTGGAATTTGCTTGAAGGTCCGTCACCTCCCGGAATATTTAATTGATTGTGGAACCCAAATAATTCATTGAAACAAACTCTTTATTTTTTGAGAGAATGATGTGCTCGTGATGCACT